TGTAGTCTCCTGTTTGGTTTGATGCATTATGTAGCACATAAAACAAGTCGGTAAATATACGCCACATAAAAACACAACATGGCTGCATTAGGAACTTACCAGCATAGCTTTGAGCTCCATGCTGTTGGGATACTGCACACGTCCGCCATATTGAAACGTCCTCCTCAGATTCTGCTCACATGCCTTAGCAATACCTATAAATTAATAATAGTGATAGCTAAGAATACCATTAGACTAGGTAGTGATGGATTAATGGATGCTGTGTCAGTTCACAGGTTGTTTGGACATCTTGCTGTACCTTGGTACTGCTGCCCGGGGCTGTCACTGGCATCCTGCAGAAATTTCAGCAGAAACGGCTTCATAACATCAGAGCAGCGATGGAAAGCTGTGAGGATGTACATCAGTCTCCATCCTCTCTGACAACTGTCCCTGCACAAAATACACACACAACTACAAATGAAAGCCTCTCCATGACGCTGCTGTTGAAGTTCAAAGTGCCCATCGATGCTAGAAGTCTTACGGTTTAGAGCTGGTGTTGGCAGTCACTTGCTTCATCACTTGGCAGTACGTTTCATCCTTTATCAGGCCGTGGTCTCCGCTTAGCTGGATTTATGATACACAGACACACGTTTATATGATTCTTATAGGAGGACAGACAAATATACTGGTTTGTTTTGGTATTACTGAAGAAATTGAACTCACCGTCAGTATAGAGGTGACCAGGTCCTGCTCAGTCTGGCCTTTCAGTGGGAAGTCTCCCATAAACTTCATTACAGCTACACAAAAACAATCACTGCCTTCAGATGTAGTCTTTCAGAACTAAACATTAACTGATGTGTCCAAAAATAAATAAATCCCAGACCTAGATTTGATCCTACAACTGATGACTAAAAGATATGTAAAGCATATCTGTATCTACTGACTAGTTCTCTAGCGTCTTCTTCTACTATTCATCCCCTCTTTTTCTCTCACCTATGAAGATGTCTGCTGCCACTCTGTTCATGCCGCTGTCTGAGAAGTCAATCAGAGACTCGTGGATCGGAGACTGGAGACACAAACACACAAACACACAATGAGGAAGAAATGTTGCAGCTAAATCTCCAGTATTTAAAAAAAAAAAAAAAAAAAACAAAGAAAAAAATCAAGACATACAGTTTGTGCACCAGCATACAAAATCACAAAATAGCTGAAAGTAATACACATGTATATGGGAAGATAAAGAAGCTGAGGTTAATTTGCAGCACTCAGTTGTGTTACCTTGGAGAATTTGACCATGTCAACAGGGTCCCTGCCCTCTTTCCCCTTTTTGGCTTTCTGATCACTACAGGGAAACAGTCAGTTTTTGTCAGCTCAGTGAATATATATACACGTATTTGCAACTATGAGAACAAATTTGAGGTTTGAAAAGAGGATATTTTGGCACTTGTGTGTGTGTGAGTCTGACCTCCTGTTCCTCTGTGCTTCCCTGAAGTACTTTTTGGCAAACTCCGGCATTTGGTACTGGCTGCTGTGCAGAGGCGGATCGCTCATTTCAACGCTCAGGCCGTCCCCATACATCTCATTTACTACCTGATGCACACGTGAACACCCACAGCACAAAGAGTTAAGCAACCGTGCCACTTACAGGATTACCAACAATGTAATTATCTACAAAATATTTCCATCTCTGCAAACCGAAACATTCCAATGTATGCTGTATAAACAGCAGCTGATACCATAATGTGGGGGTACTAAGCAAGCTGAACTCGCCTTGAACTCGTAATTTAGACATTTTTCCACTGTTATCAAGTGGAAGCTGAAAATTAAGTGCGCTTGTTGGACAGCGGCTCAGAAAAATGTAACATGAGTAAAGAGAATCCCAGTCTGCACCTCTGTGGAGAGGTCGAGCTCATGAGCAGCTACAGCCGAGCCCATTGCTACGGCAACAGCAGCTGAGGCGGCGACCCGTCCCTGCCTGTCCCGAGGCTCCACGCGATCAGCCGGCAGAACCAGGAAGTCTGGGGCGGCCACAGGACGGACATACTCACTGGGAAACACCCCCGACCTTCCGTACACGGCCCCGAACCGCCACCCTGCACACAGACACACACACACGCAAACACAACCACCAGAAGGTATGCACAATCACTTAGAGGTTTGTAGGCAACCACAGATATGGATCTGATGTAAGCAAGTGTCACATGCAAAACACAGAACAAGCTCCAATTGATGCTTGATTTATTTTATTTGTTTCAGACAATCAACAGAATTGAATTGAATTTGAATTGCCTCTAGGGGATAAATAAAGTTATTTGAATTGAATTGAAAACCCTCAAATGTTTAGCTTTCAAGAAAAGGATAGAATAGAAGTACTTTATTGTTCAACAAAGGGAAATTCTGTTGTTACAGTAGCATGCGGAAAGAGCAAAGTGACCACCACCACAACATAAATAAATAAGAAAGAAAAGGAATATACTAAAGTATGGTTAAAAATGACAACAGTGAAAAATGCACCGTGAAGTGTGATTATGCTGGATATAAAAAATATCCAGTGAATGAGGAAATTAAAATTTAAACAGCAGTGCAACATGTGCAAACAGAAGATGAGCAACAAATTATCACAGAGTCCTCAAATAAATCTGAGAATATAAAGATATTTTTAACAAAGCAACTACAAAAACAAAGCAGCAAATCAAACAGACAAACAGCAGAGAAGCATTTATGTCGCACCCACCAAACTCTGGAGTTTCTCTCTTCAGCTCCTCCAGAAGCATCACCTTCTTCCTAACAATGCAGCCATAATGTTTGCCTGAACACACACACACACATACATAGACACAGTAATTGTATGAAGCACACAGAAGCAGAGACGCTGCACATGGAAGCAGTAAGCGGATATATTACTGTAAAGTTCTCCAGTGTTTGTCTGATTGTGTCTCACCGGCCTCCAGTCCATCCATGTGCTGCACTCTGATGATGTCCCCTTTGTGGAAGCTGAGCAGATTTCTGTCCTCAGTGATGTAGTTCCTCACCGCCACCACATACTGCGAGTCCTGACGAACACAGGACACGCTGACATTAACATCCACTGTGCACACTGACTGACAGAGAGCCAGAGAAGATGTGAGCTTAAAAAAAAATGTCAGCATGTTTAATTAAAGGGTTTGCTAGTGTTACTTTGAGAGTAACTGAATTAAGGTTGAGTGAAAGAAAAAGTAACGTCCGTGCATGAACAAAAAAAAGTTTTCTAAACTGCATAAACTAGTTAAGCCTGTATATGAATCTAGTACCTTTACAATAAAAAAGAAAGAAAGAAAGATGCCAACATTTCATATTTAACACAGTTTAAGTTTTGAAAATATAATGTAAAACACTGAAAGATCATCCTAAAATAAATAATCTTGGTAATATTACAGTTTTAGCAATCAGATTGTGGCAAATGCTTGCATTATAACAGAAATTCCATCATCAGTAAGACTCAGATGATAACTTCTAACTGTGCATATACAAAAAAAAGCCAAATGGATGGTGATGAATAACTACATTTTGATTTTATAAGACTTTTCTAGTCGGACCAGCAGATATCTTCCCACTCACTCATACAAACACACTTCTAAAGTCTCTCTGACCTTCTTGAGCTCTGTGAGGAAATAGTCGATCATATGTTTGACCTGCGGGGCCTTGGCGGAGAACAGGATCAGCTTCTCGTTGGTCAGGTTGAACTCCAGCATGTTCTTAGATGGAATAGACACAAACAGGATGTCCGAGTAGCTGCACAGGAAGTGATATGCCAAACCAGGAAGTCAACTTAAAGTCATGGGTCAAAGCAATCAGGCTAAGACATGCCAAGAGAAAGAGCTTTTGGTTTTAGCATTTTTTTTTAAAAAGCAGCAATCTATGTAGGCTAGACAAGGCAGAAATAGGTCTGATATTAGTTATACAACATATGGATCCATGTTTTTCTATGAGGCGCACCTGTAAGGCCTCAGCACTCTGAAGTAGTCTGAAGCTGCAGAGCTGCTCTTCACCATCTTCAGCAGCTTGATGCCTTTATGGGACACAGACAACACCTGCACTCCTGTCCCCACACTGCCCTGAAAAACACACACCACAGCATGATAACAAACTGAGGACAGCCACATAAAAAAAAAAAAAAAAAAAAAATCCTACTTCATGGCTTCTGAATGATACATGTAGACTCTGAAAATGGACTTCAAACACAGCCGTGGTTGTATTCATACTCTATTAGGAGCGCTGCAGAGACATTTTGCCCTCATATCAAACACAGAAAAACACATGAGGCTCCAGTAGATGTCTCTGAAGGATATACACTTTTTACTGGATATAGCAGCTGCTTCCAGATTGAGCTTTACCACTGTGTTGATTTGATTATTCCTGAGGTGTGCAGGAAACAGTCGCTGGATATAGCAAAAGGATTTCTGGAGAATTTAGAACTTCCTACTGCATTTGAGCAACGTCAAAGGAAAGCATGTGCAAATCATAGCCTCTTCAAAGTCCAGCAGCGACTACTTCAAGTACAGCTCTATTGTTCATGAATTATAACGGTGTGGATGACCGAGAATCATTTAGGCGCCATTTGTTTTGTCAGCATGTATGCAGTCAGGTATTAAAATACTCTGGGCTACATAATGGCAAGTTGTAATATTGGACTATTCCAGCATGTTGGAACTGATTCTTCAGACAAATACAAAAAGCCCCAGCCTGCAAGTTTGAAGAATTGGTTGCCAGGGTTTGATATGTATGAAACTTTGGCTGTCTGAATTCATTTTGTAGACACTGTCATCGGTACTGTGTAGTTTCAGCATGGAAATACTCAGCCATGGCTGTGACTGCTTATTTCACTCATGATGTGTCTTCCATGATATAAAAATCACCATGTGGACACGTTACCAGAGGAAGTACGAGAGTGGATATAACTGCACTCTGATCCTTACTCAGTTCAACTGATATATGCAAAGAAAAATCACAGAAACTCACAGAGGCGGGAAAGAGGCGGGAAAAGTAAATCTCCCATGAGTCTCTGGCCATGGCCACCACTTTCTTCTTTACGTTTTCATCATGTGTCCCTGAAACCTGATCCACTTTGTTCTCCGCTGTCCAAAACACAAAGGAAGAGAGATTGAAGCTTTTGCATAAATGAAAAAAAAAAAAGAGGATATTGTGTGTGTTCTATGAGCAGTTATAGTACGTAGGGAAATCCTTTAGGGATGAATGTTGTTCATACCAAACAGAACTTTCATCTTCTGTCTCTCCTCCTGGGTGATACGGATGCAAGCCTCAGAAGAGGTGTCATGTACAACCTGCAAAAGACGCGTATTTCCAGGAATATAAATCTGCTGAAGGAAAGCATTTTAGGATCATTTAATTCTGACTGTAAATGGATGCTAACATTAAAGCAAAAACCAAGGTCACTGAATACCTGAAAGTGTGCTCTTGTGTTGTTTTACAGCAAAGAGTAAGTTAATTGTAGATAAAAAGCACTACCTTTAGCAGTTAACATACGGCCTCTGCTATGATGAAAAATCAGATTTATTTAGCTATAAAATGAAAAACTAATGAATTAACTTAAGACTAAACAAATGAAGTAAAATGTAAATGTCAAATTCCAACCTGTCGGAAGATCAAGTCCAGGATTAGTGGATTGTTGATGGTCTCTTTTGGATAGAAAACCTGTAAAAAAAAAAAGAGAGACAAAAATTAATAAATAAGATGTTTATTTAAGTAAATAGTTATACAGTCTGATAGCATTAAAGCTCTCTAATGTTTGACCTTGTGACCTTTCAGTGAGATTTGCTGTTGTGTTGTTGAACTGATCTGAATACTGAGTTAAAGTGCACCTCTTTCCTCATGTAGAGTTTCCACGGGACGTTGGAATAAGTGTAATGCTCATCGCTGGTTCTGCTGTGCAGCTGAGTCTGAATGATCTCCTCCTCTACTGGCAAATCTCTTGAGACTGTATACACAAACATTCATGAGGATTCTCATTATTACGAGTGTAAAAGTGGCTGCAATGTGCATTTCGGAGTTTATGAATGGGGATTTATAAAATGTTCACCTGGTGGAGGGGCGGGGCTTATGTTGGAGCTTATTGGCCCTGCAGAGTGAGGCTTGGTTGTCTTGGTAACCTTTAGTCGTCCATCTTCTTTAGGTTGGGATGGCTGCGGCTTCCTCTGAGTCTGGAAACATGAAAACTATATATAATATAGCTTTAACTTGTATGTGTGTATGTTTTAGGTGCCACGTTGGGATACCGGTTGCGGTGGGTTTGCCATTTGATCTTTCAGGATCTCCATGGCTTCGTCATGAGGGTCTGGCTTCTTCGCAAACATCTTTCCGTCACTTCTCCTACACACATCCACACCAAGGTAATTATAATGGATGAAATACAACTGTATGTGATAATTATCTCAGGCGTCTCAAAATGCGTGTGCTCTGTCACCTTTGTGTGGGAGATCCAGAGGAAGATGTGGTGCCTGCAGCAGGCTGGTGCTGTTTGATGATATCCTTGATGTCATGGCTGGGCTCAATGCGCTCAGTGTTGCTCACACTGGACCGGACCACGTCCTCAGGAGGGGGGCCATGTGTTGGACCTGGAACATAACTTTCTTTAAGCACACATGAACCAGGAAGTTTGCAGTTTATGTTTGGCTTCATCCTTTAACCCAAAAGTCACTTACTCATGGATTCATCTCACATTTTTAACTGAATGAATTTGGATTTTCAGTCTCTAATCATTGCAAAAAATGATCTTTTCACTCCTTTTTTTAGTCATCCTGAATCGTCACCATATGCATGACCACACATTAAGTCTATAACATACTCGCTTTACGATGAAGCTTGTGTGAAGACTCCTCACTGTCTTTGGCCTGCAGAAAAACAAGAAACAATACAGCTGCAAGATCATATTTCACATTTGTACTCCTGCTGGCAACAGCACGGTGCATGTGTGTGTTTACTCACCACACTGGGTGTGTGTGAGCGCTGTGCCGAGTGTGTGTGATGATGTGCAGGAGGTGACTGGGGGGCCGGAGCAACGGGGGGGAAGGAGGACAACATCTGCTGCTGGATTGCAATGGCCTGCATGGTCATCTGCTGGGCCTGCAACACAGAGACACATATTTCTACATGCAGTATATGGAAACAACAGTTTACCATCATGCTATTATATATATTCTATCCTTTTATTCCTCATGGTCATGGTCATCCTTAAAATGATGGTTTTACTTTACACTGATTGGCCAATGTATCATTAGTGTTAATATCAATAAGTGTGGAGTTACTGACTAAATGTGTCACTTAGTCTGATGTTAATTTCTATCAATTTTCAGTTAATTTACATAATGTTAATAAAATTGTTTGACATTGTGGAAAACGTGTGCTAAATTAGCACTGCTAATTAATATAATTATGCACAATACGAGGAAAATCTGCTACGTGCCATAACATTGTTCAGTACTGCAATAATGATATGACTTGCAATAAACAAACAAATGGATTTTCCTGTGTTTATCTGCTTTAACGGACACAGAGCTGTAACAGACTCCAACACTGAATAGCTTCTGCCTACTAAATAAAGAAGAAATGAACTATTTTGTACGTGCTTCAGTTGAAAAAATTGCTCTTGAATGTCCAACCAATTAAACTGAACATTAATTTGAGCAAGACATTATAGGTATAAGAAATGGAATTTAATTTTTATGCTCTCTCAAATATTCATTCTAAACTCAACATAAGATCTCTAGACATTTCTCTTGACATTCTCTCACCACCATAACGATATGAACTGAACTGAGGCAAGCTCACCACTTGCTGTGGCTTCGTCTGACGAGCCAAATGGTGCTAATGCACGGCCCATCTGATGGATCAAATGTTTGCATGGCACGTGTAAACAAACCAGTTTTCATATTCACAGCTTTACGGGCAGTTTTCTGCGATGTGTTTATTGCACATGCTCATGCAAATAGAGTTTATTGGTCAGCATCAGTTGCTGGGAAACCAGCAGAGATTAGGGGTAGTTACAACTTCTAAACAAAGATTTTTCCAGCATCTAACCCTGTTAAAATGCATTTTTACACTTCGGGTTTTCACAGATTAAACAAATAAGATATAAAATGTTAATTATCTTAATTTAAATAATCACCTTGTGTGAAGTAGATTCATTTTGTTATTATTAGACAGAGCACTCCAGCTGAGATTTTATGCTACTATAGCTTCATATTTGCTATACAAACACAAAAATGGTATTGATCTTGTCATTTAAGTCGTTCTAGTGGAGAAAACAAGTTTGTTTGTTTTTTAACTATTCCTTTATCATGATTGAATATTACATGTGTGGCTGCTCATTGATGGCCCAAATGAAGTTTTATCATACTGTATGTTTTCATGTAACTCATGTAACAGTGGCATTAACATTGGAGTTGTTCATGTGTCAGACCAGAATGATAGCTTGCTGGTTGATGATGGCCTGTTGCTGCTGAGTCAGTACCGCCTGCTCCGATCCTGGAAGAGTACAAACACATAAACACCATGCGTTAATGATGATTTAAGATTTAGCTGCAGAAAATAGCAACAAAAGCACACACAAGCAAAAACACAGCAACAGCAAAACAAACAGCAGACTCCTCTTCGTCTAACAAACCACCCACCGGAAAACAATGCAAACTGTAAATGGAATACACTGGAAGTCCATCACGCCCACACACTTCAGGCCACACGTGCTTGAAAACCTGCTGCACACCCTGTCATTGTACCTGGCACACCTGTCATCACAGGTAAGCCTTGAACCACAGTCGTGGCTGGGAGCGAGGGTATGGCCGACACACCGGGGACACCAGGGACATGAGATGCTACATCAGTGTCTCTACTGGCAGCGGGGGCAGCAGCAGGGATGGCAACGGGGGTGTGAGAGGCCGATGGGGTGGGAACTACACGGGTGGAGGGAGCGGTGGTGGAGGTCTGCTGGCGGTAGGGCTGCTGGGGCCGGTTGTATTGGTGGTACTGTTCCTGCTGCTGCTGCTGCTGGTGTTGCTCGTGGTGGTGGTGGTGGGAGGGGATTGGCATGGCGGGGACAGGGGGCATCATCCCTCCTGCTACTGGAAGCACCGGCACAGCTTGAGGAGCAGCAGGCAGGGAACAGGGTCAGAGTTAGTCAGGGCTCCGCTCCAGTTTTAAGTGGATTTAATAGGTACTGAGGGTCTCCAAGCTCAGTACCTGGAGCACTTTTGTGCATTTCACACCAGATGGATATTTCAACAATATGTAAAAAGAAATGAGCAGAAACATTAGAGCTGTTGTCATGTGTTGAGTACACGTTATTAGCCATGGGATGCCATTTACAGTCTGTTTTTCAGTCCACCACTTTAGTCTATGAAAGTAAAATCAAATTTTATTTCATCATCTATTTATATGTTAATCATCTCTCAGTGATCAGTTGCTCATATTCATTTTCAGAAAGTGCTTATGTGGTTTCTAGACTAGGATGACCAGTGTTTAGTAATGCTTGGTGTAAAATATAAATGTCAGGAGTTTTAACCTGAAGAGGCTCCTTGATGAATTTGGAATGTAATAAATGTCTCTCTGTCCTCCTCATCTCTAGGAGGCTGTTTTGTCTAAAGGACATTTCTGCACTAAAATACCTCTGCAAATGTTTAATATATTGACATGATTTATTCCTGAAGACATTCACAGTTTCAAGAGACGAATCCTCTTGACTGATGAAACAATGACTTTCCTCTGGAGCTACCATGATGCTGACATTTATGATATTTAGTGACAGTTCTCCATATCTATTGGATGGATTGTCATGAAATTTCGTATGAATCCTAATAACTTTGTTAATAAACTTAATTTTCATTAACACAAAGCCACAATTAAAATGTGTTTTGAAACACTTGCAAAGCCAATGTTGGCATTTTCAAATGTAAAACTAAGATTGTGAACCATGGAAACAGTGCATTTATATAATATCACCACATGTGTGAATGTCGACATGTTGCACTGTGGTGAAAAAGGTATCAGGATTCTTTGTTGAAGTAAAGTTACCACCACAGCAATGTAAAAATACTCCATTATAAGTAAAGGTCCTGCATTAAAAATCTCACTTAGGTAAAAGTACCTAAGCTAAATGAATTAATTGAATTTCCCTTCTGGGATGAATAAAGTATTTTTCATTTCATTTCATTCATTTCATGAAGTCAAAGTGTTGTGGTTTCATCACTCTGATTGACATATTTGTTATATATGCCACCATTAGTTTAATAACACTGAAGCGTCAGTGTATCGGCACCATTAAACTGTTGTAGTTGCTGCAGGTGGAGCTGATTTATATAACATTTTACGTAATTTTGTTTTCAGAATTTTGATTTTTTTTTCAAATCTTTGGTTTTTGGTGACATGTTGGATCATTTAGAATTAAGCCACGAGAGAAGCTTAGAGGGGGAAAAAGTCAGACATCTGAAAAGTGAGTCCAACCACACACTAATTTTGGTAAAACATCAGGACTTGAAAAGGTAGAATACTCGTGGCTTAAACAATGTGCCCCATTTCAAACCTTGTTACATGATGCATTTTGAAAAATCTTCCTCTAAAAGTAGCTAAAGCCGTGGATTCTGGTAGAATAATTCCAGGCCTTATAAACTATTACAGTCCCAGCAGTAGTTGTCTATTGACTCATTTTCTATAAGAAGGGATTTCCTTCATCCCCTTTTTTTTTTTCTGTTATCGCTGTTGTTGCTTCTTCTGCTGAACATCAGAGACCACTTAGAAATTATTAGTATAACATAGTGTCTTTAAAATGATGGAGAATAAAAGTCTCTACACCTGCACATTTACAGACTTTGAAACATTCACTCCATAGTTCTAATAGTTGTGGTGAAGAACAGAGAGAAGAAAACTTGACCTGTAAAAAAAGAGTGACAGGTAATAAACATTTCCAGATGTCTGGAAAGCTATAAATGTGTGATAGCCAGATTTAAGTTTTATCTGTAACACTCTAGCACAGCCACAAAAACGATCCAAATAACCACATAACTGTGGGAATATTTAAGGTTAATAAAAGCCTGTGTAGCAGGAGAAAGAACTGGAACAACAGGCACCCAGAGAGGTTAAAGGAGGAGTCACCTGTGGTCACAGTGAATGGCTGTCGATGCATTATCTATGAGGTCAGACTGCTCATTACAGCCTCTAAATAGCACATTAAGGCAGGTGAACTGTGCACCTGAACTTTTAAACTTCAGACCTGTTCAGTGTCACTGAACAAACAAAAAGAAAATATCACAATGGCCATAACAATCACTGTATTTTGTTTGCTTTTGTCATGATTTTTTGTTTGTAACAATGTTGAACTGAAAATATCAATACAGTTTTTTACATTCTTGTATTTTAAATTTCATATGTCTCCCTGTTAGTTACTTGCTTATAAGGTTTATCCCATATTAACCCAAAACATTTTAAACTTGGTGTTGTTTCTGGCATTCAGGCGAAGCTCTGACAGTGAGAAAGAGGGCAAAACAATTTATCAGCCTGAGACTAATGCCAAGGATTTAGGGCCTACTTAGAACAAGCTGAATTATTGATGTCAGCAGAGAGAAGGATGGATGGTGGGACAAAGGACGGGTTGGAAATGAAAACTGTAGAGAAAAATTAAAGAGAGGGAAAGGTGTGAACAGATGAGACAAAAGCAAAATGCAAGAAAAAACAGACAAAAATACAAACCTAAAGAAAAAAAAACAATCTGCACACACACAACTTCAGCGTTTTACCTCCTGGATGTATCCCTGGTGGGTAAGGTCGACTGCGAGCTGGATGACTCTCCCCCTCTCCCCTCTCTCCCCCCGTGATGCCGATGCCTCCTCCTCCTTTCATCCTTGCTGACAAACTTCCAGTCTTCTCCATGTCCTGGTGGGCAAACAGGTGACAAAGATTCAGCAGAAGGACAGTGGAATATGGGAAGAAAATTGAGTTTAAGCGACATGAAGATCGGGAAAAAAGGTTTGTATGCTAGAATAAGAGAGGGAGCATGACCGAGAGAACAAGAAAGAGGGAGTGTATTGTGTTGCATTGGTTGATTCAGACCCTCTCAGAGTGAGTCTGTAGAGCTGCAGGAACTGAATACTCCCCAGGGAGTACCGTACACACTGGAGGAGATGCTCCAGCACATGCTAACACAACTGGAATCAACTTTTACAAAAGTTGGTCCACAACCAAATGTAATACAATATTGCAGGGCTTCATTGTCTCACCCTTACAAAATCTCATAACTATTTTCATAGGAAATATAAGCAGCAGGACTTTTAGTTAGCATAAGCAGTGAGGACACATTGGGTAAAAAGTGCAAAAATAAGGCAAAGATAGTTTCATAATACAACACACACTTTTTGATTTAAAGCTCAAAATGTTGTGGAAAATCTTAACCACAAAGGCTTGCATAACATTACAAAATGCAGCTTTTACGACTCCTGATCATCATTCAAAGCCTTGAACATACCTGCAGCAACTCTCCTATAGTTTGCTCCCAATGACGGAGCCTTTTCGCCTTTTTTCTGTTCTTCCAACAAAGCAAATGTAAAGCTATACGGAGCTGTTTATGCATGCTGCCCGCTGCTACGGTCAAATACGGTAGGTCGCTCAGTAACCCAATCATCCCTCTAACCTGCTCCATTCATACACAAACAGAAGCAACGGATCACATGTTCCATCCGTCCATCAACACTCATGTCCATTCACACACACGTGGCAGAGAACATGGAGGGAGTATGATATAAAAGTTTTATGCGTTTCAGATAATAATTTCCACGTCTATTTCTTTACTTGTTCACTGATGTGTCTATATGTATAGAATCTTTGTTTTGGTCTGACAAACGGTTCAAAATTCACAGTCATATAAAACAGAGAAAAAGGTCACAAAACTGCTAACACTGAAATTCAGTTGCACTAGTGTATATACAGCATTTACATAAACACACTGTACACACATTTATGTATGTACAAAAGCACTGCACTGACTAGATGACATAGTCGGCAGTGCAAGGCAGCAATTAAACCAAATAACCAGGTATCAGTTGGTCAGGTAGTCAGGCCTAAAAAATATTTCGGCAGCTCCAAAGTACAGTCGTGACTTGACAATCTGACCCTTAACAATCCGAAAACCTTGCTATCCGACAGGTTTGTAGGAAGAACGAATGGAATCCATGAAAAACAGCCTTAACATACTGACACCCTTGGACTCCGACACCAAAATGAAAGTAAAAAAAAAAAATAACGACAAAGCAGCAGAATCAGAAATAACAAACAGACACAACGGCCACATTCAAACACCAAAACCTAAACTCAAATCGGATGGTGAAATCAAATCAGATTGCGAGGCAAGTCACATCACAAATCAAATAAAACGCGAATGGGATCTGATCTGCGAACTGAATACCACACAAAACAAAACCGCACCAAAAGAACAGAAAACAACAACGACACAACACACAGCAAGCGTGCCCAAAGTAAACACAGATGGTAACGGTGGAGCGTGGAACCAAACTGTGACTGCTATCCTAAACTGGCATCAGTAGCCAAGTACTACCTGTGCGTCCCGGCCACTTCCACCCCGTCGGAGCGCTCCCCTGAGGTGGTAGTGGCCGTTCAAGCACCAAGCCCTCCGAGTATCTTGACCTCTGTCTTGACAATCCGAAAGCCTTGCTATCCGACATAAAATAAGGTTTTGCATTTAGTGCTGGATTATTGAGTCGCAGCTGTATTTCTAAACCAGAAGGGAAATATGGTTAGGACCTGTAGGTAACTGGAAACCAGCATGAATACTCACTATGTTGCTGTCGGACAGCACAGGGTCGAACAGACTGTCCAGGTAGCGATCCATTCCTCTCTGAGCCTGACCGTCACTGAATGCATCCGACTCTACAGGACAGATCCACACAAATCATTCAATCTGCAAGACGTTCCGGTGATGTGATTCAGTTGAATTGAAAACTTTCTCCTAAAAGGTCCATCGCAAAATTTTTCATCTGCAAAATCATTATTTTGTTGAGTACCTTTTAAACATTAAGACCTCCAATAAATGTTTCCAGTAGTTTGATGCTGCAAACTGTGTCTCTTGGAACTAAAGGTGTCTTGTGAATCTTAAAGCACTGCGTTTTTGGTATGCTATTGGTGGGATTTATTTATAACTCAGCTCAAGCAAATTCAGTGTTGTTATAGAGTTCCCAAAAGCATAAATCTGCAGCAGCAGGTTAAATCTTGAAAAAAATGAAAACAAACAAACAAACAAAAAACTAACTGCATTCTTTCTGCAGCTCTTTCCTCTCTCCTCTCTGACTTAAGCTTGAGCACGGTTAAATACACGCTTTAAACGTGCAAAAGTAGTCAAGTTACAAGTCGAGATTCACTTGTGGCTTCACATCTTCTAAATAAAAGTCTTCGGCATCACCACATCCTATTCATATCATGAACGTTGCTGCTCTTTATACTGTCTCATCGAATCTGCATTTAAAGACCAGTGAGTGACCAAAGTCTCCCGTCTTGGGCTAGATTTTATAAAACCTACATGAAAACAGAGCCAAGAGGATGAGCTGAACTTTTTTCTTTCTTAGAGAAAGACAATATACAGCAATGTATTAAGGAATTTTTTTGCTGAAAGAATATTGTCTACTACTGCTTTAATTGTGTTTTGTGATAATTGCAGCTGCAAAAGCAACCCTCTTCAACATTTTAACATTTTTTCAAAAGTATGGCTGTATTACAAAACCATTCTTTCATTCAGAAAGATTGTGTTACACGTTTTCTTTATCACTTTGACTATGGAACTCATAGAACACTTTACCACTTTATCCAAATTTAAGATACGTTCCAGAAACTATGAACTCAGCAGGGTTTTGTAATTTTATCACAGCATAACTGTATGCGCCATACCCTTAATCCTTCTGGGTATATTTATACTGTGTATATTTATTAGTAATATACGACAACAGATGTATGGTTCAGACATATCTGTGTGTGTTTGTGTACCGTGGCTGTAATAACCATCAGAGTCAGGCAGACTGTATGCTGGTCTGCTGCTGCTGAGAGCTAAAGAAGGAGGAAGTTCCTCGTCTGAGTCAAAGCCACCGCCGAACAAAGTGCTGAAAGGAGAAGAGGAATCCTGTTAGTGAAATATTGTCTTAGATGTAATGGTCTGCATATGACCACAGTATATGTATGCATGCATTTTGTGCACTGACAGGCTGGCATTAGCTCTGACTCTAGCCGGGTTGTCGGTGCTGATGACGAAGTAGCTCTTCTGTTTTGGGAAGTCCATAGGAAGCTCCAGGTCTGCAATCAGGTCCATCACATAGTCATGACCGGCTAGCTCCACCCACTGGCCGTGCTCCTTCATCAGAATCGAACTCCCCCTCCACCAGTCAGACACTCCCCTGCAAGACCGCATTGTTGACATATTCAGATGCATATATTTGACCTATTATTACTGCACTCAAAGAGATGTTCACTTGATCGTCATCATAATACACACGTGGACAAAATTGTTGGTACCCATCGGTTAATGAAAGAAAAACCCACAATGGTCACAGAAATAACTTGAATTGGACAAAAGCAATAATAAATAAAAAATTCAATGAAAATTAAGCAATGAAAATCAGACCTTGCTTTTGAACTGTGATTTTACAGATTTTATTATTTTTTTAAACTCATGAAACAGGCCTGGACAAAAATGATGGTACCCCTAGAAAAGACTGAAAATAATGTGACCACAGGGACATGTTCAGTCAAGGTGTGTCCTCTAATTAGCATCACAGGTGACTACAAATTTGTAATCAGTCAGTCAGCCTATTCATAGGGTTACAAGTCGTCACTGTGCTGTTTGGTGACATGCTGTGTACCGCACTAAACATGGACCAGAGGAAGTGAAGGAGAGAGTTGTCTCAGGAGATTAGAAAGAAAATGATAGACAAGCATGTTAAAGGTAAAGCCTATGAGACCATCTCCAAGCAGCTGGATGTTCCTGTGACTACAGTTGCACATATTATTCATAATTTAAGATCCATGGGACTGTAGCCAACCTCCCTGGATGTGGCCGCAGGAGGAAAATTGACACTAAAGCCATTAAAGGTGAACTCCAAGGTCAAGGTACATCAGTGTCTGATCACACCATCCGTCGTTGTTTGAGCCAAAGTGGACTTCATAGGAGACGACCAAGTAGGACACCATTGTTGAAAACAAATCATAAAAAAGCCAGACTGGAATTTGCCAAACTGCATGTTGACAAACCACAAAGCTTCTGGGAGAATGTTCTCTGGACAGACGAGACAAAACTGGAACTTTTTGGCACATCAGCTCTATGTTCACAGATGCAAACATGAAGCATATCAAGAAAAGAACACTGTCCCTACTGTGGAACATGGAGGAGCTCTGTTATGTTCTGGGGCTGCTTTGCTGCATCTGGCACAAGGTGTCTTGAATCTGTGCAGGGTCTAATGAAATCTCAAGACTATCAAGGTGTTCTGGAGAGAAATGTGCTGCCCAGTGTCAGAAAGCTTGGTCTCAGTCGCAGGTCATGGATCTCGCAACAGGATAATGACCCAAAACACACAACTAAAAACACCCAAGAATGGCTAAGAGGAAAACACTGGACTATTCTGAAGTGGCCTTCTATGAGCCCTGATCTAAATCCTATTGAACATCTGTGGAAGGAGCTGAAACATGGCGTCTGGAGAAGGCAGCCTTCAAACCTGAGACAACTGGAGCAGTCTGCTCATGAGGAGTGGACCAGAACACCTGCTGAGAGGTGCAGAAGTCTCATTGACAGTTATAGAAATGGTTTGATTGCAGTGATCGCCTCAAAAGGTTGTGCAACAAAATATTAAGTTAAGGGTACCATCATTCTTGTCCAGGCCTGTTTCATGAGTTTATTTTTTTAAATAATTCTGTTAAACCACAGTTCAAAAGCAATGTCTGAGTTTCAATGGTTAATTTTCATAGAATTTTTATTTATTATTACTTTTGTCAGATTCAAGTTATTTCTGTGACCATTGTGGATGTTTCTTTCATTAACCGAGGGGTACCAACAATTTTGTCCAAGTGTGTATGTTTAGATGTTTGCATACAATTTATACAGCATACAAAATGCATAGATTTGAGAATGAAGAATTACAGAAAAGTTGACAAGACAAAAAATGCATTATCAAAAGCAAAGTGGTATATTGTAAATGAGCGTCATTTCAGCACCTGTGACGCAGGATGTCTCCTGCTAAATCCTCTCCACTGGTCCAGGAATGGACTGGACACAGGAATGACCCTCCTGCAGAGAGATATTAATGAGTAATCAAGCAGCATCTTCATCTATTTATTTCCTTTGTGGCTTTGAAGTCACACCAAGTGTTTGTGCTTGACTTCTTCTGTTTGCAGTGGAATACATCTGACTGAATGAATGACTGAATGAAAGATTGCTGCTAATGTCCCTGTCTGTCTTGTGTTCTGTGTAATTTTTAAATGTTTTTGTTGTCTTTTTTTGTAAACATTTCCTTTAATATGTGTTTTATATTTTTGTTTTAAAAAATGTTTTTATTGTTGTTTATTGTGACCGCTTTTGTAAGCTGCTGCATAACAAATCGCCCCTCAGGGACAAATAATACATTTGAAGTTGAAGTTAAAGTTATTTGGTGTCAACAAGCAAACTGTATGTAATTTGTGCAAGTCCATGAGCCTCGAGGTCCCACCACCTGATCCTGACTGGCAATGAATAATCAATGATCAGGGGCAGTAATTGATCCCAGACAATAAAAGCAATGCCAGACATCTCATTGAGGTGTGAGACAGGCTACTTACATGACATTTAATCGGCATTTTGTTCTTCTTTGCTCCTTTGCAGATAAATTAAAAGATATAGGTGTATAAAAAGGAGAATTTTGATTTGTTTGTAGTCTCTTCCAAAAAAAAAAAGAACAAAGGGCCAGAAACATAAAACTACATAATATATGTAAAGTTAAAAAGACAAGATGCGTCTCACCATCAAGGCAGTGGACGTGCAACACCATGTTAGCCTTCTTCCTATTGGCTGTCCACTCCAGCAGCGACAGCGGATAGGTCCGTGCAGTCTCGGGGGCCGAGCCTGAGCCTATCTCCATCTTCTGGTTGCCTTGGATGAGTCTGTGTTGCAGCAACGCCTGAGAACCAGCAGGGGCGCGATCCGATACAAATCTGATGAGCAAAAGCCAGATTTTGAGGCAAAGAAGAAATAGGAGAGTAATGGGAAAATGTTTAAAATTACAACTTCGAGGAGGTTTCGTGCTTCCTGCCACTACTTCTACGGCCTTTTAAAATGTTCTTCTGTGCACATTACCACCCAATGCCGCATATTGCCCTCAGTATCATTTATACATTCACATCAAATGACTTCTTACTTGAGCAGGTATTTGTCCATCTTGGGTGATGGGGAAAAGCTGCAGATGCATCCCAGCAGCAGAAGCCAACCTCTCTCTGCGTTGTCTGCATTTATGTTCCTCCACACCTGATTGACAACCTGAGCCAGGATCTCGTCTCGAAGCCCCGGAGACAACAAGCCCCTCTGGATGATGTAATTCCCAAACATGTTTTCCTGCGCCCCATTCAGGTGAGGGTCACCCATGAAGCGTAACACCTAAATAAAGCAGAATACTTTCAGAAACTAAAACCACTACCAATAGTTAGAATGTGTGATATCATATTTTAGGGTTATCTTTGTAAGTTTGTCTACATAAACTGTGAAGGCCACTTGGAATTTAAGCGATTCATAGTATAACTTAGAGAACTCGAGTTCAACATTTCTTATGTTGCTCCGTGAGTTGTTTCACAGGGCAACAAAGACGACAACAACAAAGACAACAAGACCAGTCAGATGGGTAGCAGACGCAGCACTAAAGACTGTCCTTGATGTGTAACAGGGGTAAGAACTAATTCTTTTTACAGTAGAGGGGTTTGTTTGTCGATCTAAACCTGATTGCTATGATGTTGGGGGCAATAGATCCTGGTAGGGTTAATCCATCCATTATCAAAACACTGCTTTATCCTGTGGAGGATAAAAATGGGGATGGAGGTAAGGTACACTGTGGATAGGCTCCATCACAGGGCCAAGACACAAGACAACCATGTACACTTACAGAACAAGCACCTGGCGAAAACCCAAGAAGGCACAGGGAGAACATACAAAGTACACACATGAAAGACCCCAGCTGAGATTCAAACCAAGGTACAGCCCAATAATCAACTTGTAGCAGCTGCCATGTAGGACCATCACCTGCAGGGATGGGTGTTGGTTGTGAGTGTACCGTAAGTCAGGCAGTGGTTCTAGAGATGTGGAATATCACCTCTCTGGTGGGAAAGGAAACAGAACTGGAGCAGGAGGTGGAGCAGTGTCACATCCATGTACAGTCCTGGAAATCTGGAGAGGTGCTGGACTCTCTCCTTTTCTAGAATTCCCCAGGGTGAGAGGTTCTGAAGGCTTTTTGGGCAAATCCAACTGGGAGGAGGTCTCAGACTAGACCCAGTACTCTCTGGAGGGATTACATATCTCATCTGGCCAGGGAATTCCTCGGGATCCCCAAGGAGGAACTTGACAATGTTGCTGAGAAGGAGGACGTCTGGAATGCAATTCTTACCCTTTCGCCACAGTGACATGACTTGGGACAAGCAGAGATAGATGGATGGCTGTATCCTTATAAATACAGTAGAACAGTGCTTGGAGAATATTCCAGATTGGGTACATTTTAAAGAAAACTATTTGTAAAAGAGGGCAGCCTACCATGATGAAAAGCTCCAGAGCCTCCCCTTTCAGGTCATCTTCCACCCGGGTCAGAGGTGACTCCAGAGGGGCCATCAGCATCCCAAACTTTGGCTCCTATTGTGCCCAACGATTTTGTTATTTCTTAATTCTACACATCTTGCAAATTTACTATGTACTTTTCATAATAAGTCCTAACAATCCTAACTAATCCTAGCTAGTCCTAACTAATCAGTCTAAGTAGAAATCAAACAATAAAGGCTCAGTAGTCTTTATTGAAAATAAATCTGAGAAACCACACACAGTTAGAAAGACACTTTTAAAAACCGAGTACATTATGGGATATAATAAGTTTCAAGCTGATCTACATTCAGGAAGCTCGCTATAATGTTGTCACTACAATGATACACATCTCACCCTGAAATGGATCTGAACATAGCGGTAGAACGGGTAGTTGTTGATGTCCAGAGGCAGAGTGAGCTGAGCCTCTTCCTGGATGTGAGGAGCCTGAAGCAGAGCCAGACAGTCTGAGTGCAGCTCCCTCCTGACTGAAGAGAGACGCATGACGAGAACAGTGTTACAACAGGAAAAAAAAAAAATTGTTGACCCTGTGAAAGCTGTCCGAGCATGACATTTAGGACACAGGTGTCAAAAGCTTTTTTAGAAACAGCATCAAGGCCGGCATGGTTTATTTATTAACAGTCCACTCCTGTCCCACTCTGTCAGGATTATTCAAATCATTTCCTAATTTGACACAGTCAGCGCTGATGAGATGAGACAAGGTGCTCTCAGACATTTTGGTTCATGAATAGTAATGCATGCACACCATGTGATGAACACTGACGGAGAAGACAGACGGACAGATGTCTACACACCTCCTGCTGTCTGCAGCAAAGCGCCCAGTTCTGCAGGGATCACCAAGTGTGTCACATTAACCACCTCTCTCTTGGTCAGCTCCTGAAAGAGGCACTTTTTAAAATTTGTCTGCAAAGTAGCAATGCATTTAGACAGATTCTCCTTTTAAAGCTACAAAAACGCAAAAGAAAAGAGGAAATTTAAAGGTGAGAGAAAAGGAACTGAGATAGAGTTGCTACTTTGAAATCTGCACTGAAAACACATTCAGACTGGCAAACTGCCAATCTCCTGCTTTTATGGGTGAGTTTCTAGGTCATGTCCTGTGCAAAGCTTGTCCAAGCTTTCATCTCACCATCTCTCTCCTCCTCCTCTCCTCTTCAGCTCGCCTCTGAGCCTGAAACTTCCTCTGCAAACAGATCACAGAAATCACAAACTCACAAACTTATTTCGATCCAGAGCAAAAAGCGTGTCGTATTATATTATGTTCTTAGATTCTTAGATAAAAGAAAACGCAAAAGAACACTTCATGTACCTTGATGTACTGTTTGCGGTTGACATACATGTGGACAAGAGAGCGGAACCGGACCAGACACTCCCTCATTTTTACATATTGCTTCCTAGAGGATACAATGAGAATTGATTTTAATTTTAACAGATCTGCAGTTCTGCTGCATTCGCAAGGTTACATTTAAAGTTTCATTCTCTGTTATTTACAGTGATTTACACTAAGTAGTGATAACTATCCTAACCCTCTGAACTTGCTTTCTTTTAGAAAAAGCCAAAATAACGCTATTTTTAAGACAGTGAAAAGACCCCCCCCCTTTTTTTTTTTTGACTTTCTGAAGGTCCTTGAACAAATCATGTGTGAATAAATTACATCAGAACCAATATCCAAATCTAAGCTTACATTTGTTATATTTCATTTCATTAAAATGACCTTATTCTACATGTCTGATTTCAAAATTTGTGAAAAATATATATTTTTTTCTTCTAATTGGATTCTGTTTAAAACAAAAATGATGCACTCCTCCGCTGTCATGTAGCAAAAATTCTGTCACAGTTCAGCTAAACGAGGATGAACTGCAGGCTGTGTTTACACTGAGCAGGTGGAGGGGTGAGCACATGTTGACTTCTTTTCTTTTTTTTTTTCAACTTTTCCAAAATAAACTACAAAAAATATTCAACTTGGTGTTGTTTTTTTGGCATAATAACTTTGTCATGCTGGCAAGAGGAACATTTTGAGCTATCTCTGTTTGTAGCCATGATTGTACTGTTTCAGGACTTCATATTGCAGTTAAAAATGAGCCCAAAGTGACCAAAAATCAAAACTGTTTGGAATACAGAGGGTTAAAGGCAAAATTTACTGTCAACACTAAAGCTGAGTTCCATATTTGTTGGTTGAAGTTTACTGAAGGTTTAAGCCCACCTAACAAGGTAGCCTCGGCAATGCGCCTCAAACCTGACGATTCTCATGCGGAACTCAACATAGCGTTTCCTGACGAAGAACATGCGGGTGTAGCGCTGCAGGGTGAGAGCAGCAAGCTGACGGGAGCGTTCCCGTTTACACTCCAACAACTGGTAGATGTCCTCCTTCAGAAACAACTGCCAGTGACACACACCAACATGAATAATCAACAAACAGTTGCAGATTGAGGCGGAGCATCAGGATTTGGAGATATAGAGCAGGTTGTCAATTGTGCTGCTGGTTTTCCTTTAATTGCTAAAGAACAAGATCACCTTTGTGACTCCAACATGGAAGATTCCTGGTCGGAGTGGACACAGTTTGCTGAGCAATATCACACAGTTGTCCCCAGTTGCTGCTGGTAGCTTCTGAATCCCCACCAAGGATTTATATCTGAGGATGGCACACATTCACAAACAAATGCAGGAAGTTTAATCTATGCCCCTATACATGTACAGTGATATTAGGATCAAAATAGGCACTAGTAGAAAAGCATAAATGTTTCTATATTTGTGTTTGGACTGCTGCAATAGCAGGGCTTTATTCTGTCTTTTCAGATGATTTGCTTGATATTGTCAAACAAATTTCTGAAAAATTAAGGAGAAAACCAGTACAAATGGCCTCAGTAACAGTTTAGGTCAATATTAGCCTCCCTCCAGAGCAGTTCCACTGCTCTTTGGCAGGTTTAACTTCAGTCTCTGACCACCTCTAAATGAAGGAGCACCATTTTTCATTCAACCAATAGCTCTGTGCATATATTACCTGAAGAGGAAGACAAAGAATGGCATTCGGACTGGATATCCCTCCCTACGGATCCTAATGGTCTCCAGGACGCCAGAGTGTCGTAGCTGGCTGCTGACCAGATCGTCCTCGAACACACCTGGTTGCTAAGCACAGACGTATAGATCTAAATCAAAAACACTGCTTGATGTGCATGTAATTGATCCAAAATACAGAATGTTGGAAGATCTACCTTCATATTATTTGGCTTAATACAGCGAACGAAGAAAGGGTTGCACCTGGAATGAGAGAATAAAATAAGGAAGCTAATTTTAGTGGCACAAAATTTTAATTTGTTATAGAACTTGTGCTCGTTAGTAAATGTGCGAATAAATCCACTCCACCTCTCCATCTTCTCCACCAGCTCCAGCAGGGACTGTTGGAACTTGCTGCTGACAGTCTGAGCCTGGTATTTTCGGGTGACCGTGCTGCTCTTCCTCATGTGACCTCCTCTCTGCTTACCCACGACCTCTGCATGAACCAGGAAGAGGTTTGACACCATCTGGACACACACAAACGCACACACACGTTCACACACAACGTTCACGTATTTTACTGCAGTCGTCTATTAGTTCGGTCAGCATGAACTTGTCTCCTCTCACCTTGTTCTTGCTCTGAATGAACAGGTCCAGGACATCCTGTCGGACCTGATCGTAGTTCTTTTCAAGGAACTTGTAAACCTACATCAGTGAAATGACACATCATTGGATGATCTGTTCACATGTGTTCACCATCGTAGTTTGCCATTTGCTTATTGGTCAAAACCAGTATTGGACAGTTAATTAAACCCCTGATAACTCATCTCTGTTTATCTAAAATTGCTTAGATGTAACTTTATACTTTTACTTCCTCTAGAATGTGTGAATCTGTAAAGTTCACGCCTCTCTTTCCACACCCCCTTCCACACTCAGTGCAATTAAAGCACACCAGCTCACCTCCGCTCAAACACTGTAAAATTTCTCAAAGCAACGCACTGGCAACTTGTAATATTGATGTAATTCAGCCACACATATTTGAACTAGAAACTGATTCTGAAGAGGAATTATGATACAGGAACCCCCATTCTGCAAGTTAACAGGATTGTCTTCTTAGGTTTGTTACGCAGGAAACTCTGGAAGTCTCTAACCGTGTTTTTGTACATTGCAGTTTCAAATGTTCAGCCGTGGTGTTGACTGCTTTTTTTTTTGCTTGTGATATCTGTCTGTCAGCACATAAAAACACCACGCGGACATGTTAACAATATAAAACATTTGATTTTGACCCGATTGAGTCTTCACCATCACAAAAGTGTTGATAATTTAATATAAGGAACGTGTGCACTTAAATGTCATCGCCGACAGTCCGGTACAATTTGAAACAGTTCACTGAAAACCATAAATGTAAACTTCAAGTTGGTGCTAAACGAAAATGTGATCATCCATTTCTTTAACATTCATTCTCTGGCACCATCAATGACCATATTTTCCATTCCTATGGTGATGCTGCTAGCATTGCTAAAAAGGCTATCAATGAGGTTCAAGCTAATTAGATACACTCAGTGTCATACAAAAAATTAACTAAAATCTCAGACTGTTTGGTACAGTGACAATAAAGCTTTCTGATTCTTATTCTGTAACTAGCTGGCCAATAGAAGACCACTGATGAGCCAATGAGGAGCTGACTACCTGGTAGGTGACCCGACCAGCAAAGTGCTTGATGGTGAACTCTGGGAGGGGCATCTTTGGCTTCACATACAGCGGGTTGTTGCCATGGTGATAGTGACACTTTTGGAGGAAAGTGTGGTCCGTTGCCTGGCAAAACATTAGCAGATTCTAAGCAAGCAGTACAATGTTTGAACCAGATGTGCTCTGTGCCCCTCCTCACCTGAGGGAAACAGCTCTGGTCATCCAGGATCCTCAGTATCCCATGAGGCTTAGCAGCGATGAGGTCGATGCACGGCTGGTTGTCGCTAAACGTGATGTCCTGCCACGGGATCTGCTCCCTGCTGTACTCCTCCTGTGTGGGGATCACACACAGCGCGGTGTGATATACATTGCAGCCCTCCATGGTCTCAATAAGGAATTCATGTATGTCCACTAATCGCCTCATTTACTAATGGTTTTAGCACTAATTGAGATCCATTTGTGTATTCCTTTGCGTAAGTGTGCAGAAACATCTAAGCGTATCTTGTGTCTGCATTCATGATGCAAAGCGCATAGCTGCGTAAACCTGCAGGTTTGACGTGGACTCACCTGTTCTTCTCTGAACACGATCCTGTTGAAGAAGAATTGCAGGTACTCGTTTGCATAATTAATGCAAAGCTGCTCAAAGCTGTTGAAGGCCAGATCCTGTTGCCACACACACACACACACACACACATATATATACACACAGTTTATGTCTCATCTACATGTCTAAAGAGTGACTATTCAGGAGTCTCTCTGCAGTGTAACATAACAAAGTTACAGACTGGTAATAGGATGCACTCTCTGTCGTCCTGTGTAGTGAGTGTGATGCATTGTCAACCCTCAAAGTTATGCTAATATCGCTTAACAACAATGGCTAGGATTCCGTTAGAGGTTTGTCTTTGCAGCTTGACACCAGCTCTGGTCGTGTAGAGCTTGAATTCAAGGCTTATAAGGACAACATAAGAAAGTGTGATGTGCGTCTACTGGGAGATATTGTTGAACTCTCCTGTGCTGTAGCCAATAAACAGCACACGAAAGTACCGTTTCCGGAGGGTTGCCTTTTATAAATGATCCTGCTGTCGGTTCTGGCGTTCCCTTGCATGGGTCCGTGCCTTTATTTCCTGACTTAGTGCACTGACTTTTGAATTGGGAATGATTTGGCCGGTGGAAAGATGCTGTTTGTTCTTGCAGAAAAACCTGTCCACACTGATGGCCGGTCTCCAGATAAGACTGCACATAAATAACACAGTGTTGACCTCAGTGGCTTTCTTGCTATGTGTTGCATTTGTAAGGCCTGTCAATCTCTGTTCTGTCTTCTGTTGCACATTTGTAAAATATATTTGTTTTCATTACTCTTTGAATTATGTTTAAAGCCCAATCGCTACGTCAGTGGCTGATACTGACCGGTCACATATGTACATGTGTGTTAGGATGCTTGGGGCTATAAAAATGGTGTCCTCCATAGTTTGTCCAGCAGATACTATTTACAAAAATATTAACACTGTCTGCAGCACATGCAGCAGAGAAGAACTCACAGCTGAGCACATAGTGGTCAGGAGTCAAGAGGTGCCTTCAGGGTATGTTGATAGCTAGTGTAATGTTGATGTGTTGGTTGGAACACTTTTCTAAAGAGATACAGCGCAATGGAGACGGATAACATCAGTACAGCACAGCTTTTTGACAACATCGCAACTTCCTCATTCTGCCTCTCATGTGACCACCACAAACCAATCAGCATCATGGAAGGCTCAGATTGCGACAACTGTAGATGCAATTAATAAAGAGACAAACTTTAAACATGTAAATTTGCACTATATAATGTTATCTAAAATTATTTATATACCACAAATATGTTAACCCTGTAACAATGTTTAAATCGGTGAATACTACTGTACATATTCCCAATTTTAGTAAATAACTGTATGAATTACTACCAAAATATGAATGATGAACTTGTGCATTGTACATTAGTTTAGAAGACATTGCTGGAAAGTTAACACATAATAACTCCATCATTTTCACTTTTCATTATAACATAATTTAACAGCATCTTTGTATACATAAAGAAGAACAGCCAATATATTGATATTGGACTTTTTTACTCCCTAAAAAAAATGTTTCAGGCTCTAGATATGTTATAGACCTTATGTGGCTTTTAAATAAAAAACAAAATTGGAAGGGTTGTAACACAAGGACAAGCACTTGTTTACCTCAAATCCATAAATGTCCAGGATGGAGATGGAGAGGGCGTGTTGGCGAGGGTACACCTGAGCGTTGATCCTTTCTGTTAACCAATGAAAGAGCAGCGAGTACAGGATCTTGGCAACAGCATCTCTGGAAAACAAAGGGCATAAATATTGGCTATTAGAAGGAGAAAGACAGACAGACAGGTAAGGAAGTGACATGTTGGTCGAGGTTAGGTTTACATGATTCAGTTTTATGTTTAAGGTGGTATAAGTATAGTTAATCAGTCTAAAGTTATTAGGTGTGCATTATTCATCACAAATTCAAATTACTATTTCATCTGTCGTTATTTAGAACACAAATGCATCTGGAGCAAAAGTGATCTTTCTTTTCACGTAGTCAGATGTCAGATCTTTGGATAAAAGCATCTGCTAAATAAAACTCTAGAACTGTAGTTGTCTCTCACCTGGCATCGACAGCACTTTCTACAGTCAGAGGGGTGTAGATTTTGTCCCTCATTGTCTCCTGTAGAGAAACGGGAGTTTAGGCAACACACTTTATGTTGGAATCTAGTTCTGCTTCTTATTTTAAAGCTGAATGTTCAAATTTAAATATTTAAACCCTTGTCCACACATGCAGCTGTGTGCTTCCTGACCCCACCCGACAGCTTCCTCACTCTCCCTCTAGTTGGATCCATTAGGACGGATGATAGACCTTTTTCACTGTGGACATTACGACTTGGTTCTGTGCTACTCAGGCATCCCAGTAAACTGTGACAATTGAAGCAGTGTTTTAGTCAAAATGTCTTCTGCGTAAATAGCAGCTTAGTTCACAGAATGTATTGATTAGCAAATAATTTCCTGCTCAGTTCCATCAGCCTTCAACCTCACGAGAAAACAACGTGGGTTTGGGATTTTTCTGTATCTTCACCAGTTGGGAATCAGACGTAAAATCAGGCTAGTATTGATGCATGACTCATACATGAGAGCGATTCATAACTAATTCACTTTTAAAAAGTTATCCACCTGCGGTCCTTGCATCACTATCTGCAGCCTTGAAAATGAAATGAAATGAAATGAAATGAAAAATACTTTATTTATCCCAGAAGGGAAATTCAATCTTGTAAAAGCTCTTTTTTTTTCTTTTAATCTATCAATATAACATATATTCTATACAACAACAACAACAACTTGTATTGCAATATTAGAAAAATGCACACAATATTTCAAAGATTTGAACAACAACAAACTTTCTTGATGACCTAACAAGCAAGAGAACAAACTCAACCATCAGTAATTTGTTCATAGTATTATTAATAGGAATAATGATGAATAAATAATAAATCAAGTGCTTTGCAGCCTCAACAAACATGGTGTGGTTTGTTGTTAGAAATGCTCAGGGCAAAGCTCCAGTGATGGTAACGTTGGTATGTCAGTCGGTCAGCCGCGATGGTCTGGAGTGAAATAACAAAATAAATATTACATGAACTTTTGTACAGACTTTTATGGTCACCAGAGGATTAACGCTTAAACAAAAATTTAATCAGAGTGCCTTCCTGTCACCATGAAACTCACATTTGTGCTTGAAATTTCTTGACAACAAACTGGAAAAAGCGCTCCACAACGTCAAGACAGACTAGCTCTAATATTTTGCTGTAACTGGGTCAAAATGAAACATTACCTACAATACACTTTCCATTTCACTTTCTTACAACCTACAGTAGTTGCACTTCTGCAGTTCTGCATCCTGATTTGTGCTCTCATATTGATGGATGCATGAGACCTCTCCATCAGCAATATTTGCGTAACCTTGAGACAACCTTCAGCTTATCTTTGCAAACTGACACCTCAGCTCAGGTACAGTGTATGTTCGGTTCCATAGGCTGCTGCAGGCAAAGTTCAATGTCACATATTCAGTTACAGTCCAAAAAAACTTTCACATGAATTAAAGTCATCCTCTATAGATGGAGTCGGCACTATGACTGCAAGAGTTACATTTTTTTCCCACACTTATTCCATCATGCTTTCTCTTTCCCCCTCCATCTGCTTATTTATTTCCTATTTTTATAACCATCCACCCTCCTTCACTCCGCTATCATCAGACACTTTGCTTCCTTCCAGCTCCTCCTCCTACTCGCTTATTCATTCATGTGTCTGAGGCATGAGGGCTGATCAGATAAAGAATGCTTTGAGACTTGAGATCTTCTCCAGTCTGAATGCACTCGACTGTCACACATAGACACTAATGTGTGCACATGCCTCATCCAGCCAGAGGAAATGAGTGTGTATACGGCCGACTCCTCTCCCGTTACATAGGCACGGAATTAGAAATTCAATTATACAAAAGGCTCCTGCATAGTGTATAAGAGCGTATGTGGAGGACATAAAGCGTGCCATGATTAGATGTACTTTTAATGTATTCTTCAGTCTCTCTTTTGTCTCTCTCATCACCCTCATTCCTTGTCAGAAGCATCACGAGACGGCGAAGGCGAGTCGAGTCACCACTTAAACTGGACAGAAAAACGAGACTTTGCTCAATCAGAGACTGATATGAGACAGAATGAGGATTGAAAACGGATTTTTAAAAGGACAAATAATTTGCTGAACTGAAAAAAATGTTGTTTTTTTTTAGGAGTTCTGCTTTTTTTATTAATCAAACAGCAAAGGAAATAGAGTGGGAAGACAACTGGAACCTGTCTTTAGGCCACTGGGAAGAATAGTTTTGTCTTTTTTTGTGTGTGTTTTTGGTTGCATGATACATTAATTTCTGCACGGAAATTCATACTCTGTTCCTTGGATTTGCTGCGGATTTACTATTTCTGTGCTGCAGATGACATGTTGTGTGTCAGAGCTACTGTACTGGTAGTTATGGAGGACAACAGAAGAAGATGCAGCACAGGAGGATGCAGTGAAACTTATGGAATCACCCTGTTAACAATGACTGCTCCTTCGAAACTTCAATCAAACACTGCCTGATGCAACGGAGTGCAATTCATTCATTTTTATTTTACTTTTTAGATTTTTGGATGAGACAGTACAAACTCAATCAAGGAGATACAATACAAGGAAGTTTTCAGATAAGTTTAGGGTTCTGAAATAATTTCTGAGAACTTGCTCTATCATTTGAATTTAATGCAAGGCCGCACTTTAAAGGACTTTGGAAGATTTCGTATTGTCTTTCTCTTGTTTTGTTTTTGTGATAAAAAACAAAAACATTAGAAATCTGGGCATTACAGCATCTCTAATAAACTTCAAACCCACACAGAAATCCGATTATTTTGAGGGGGGAAAAAAAAGAAGGATTACCATTTTGTTTTGTGTGGAAACATAAAAATTGGAAATCCTAACAAAAAAATAAATAAATAAAATAAAATAATGTATATATATAAAACAGAAAAGTCCCTCAAGCTGTGTGGCTATTCAGAAAAAATATATACTTTCCACTTCGACTGACTGCAAACACGATGACCCAAGACATTCCTTCACTGCCAGAAGCATCACTCTGACTGTGTGACATAACATCACTCAATAGTAAGCATGTAAATGCCGTGTGTCTATTTATATCTGTACTGTATGTGAACAAGATGTGAGCCTTTACGTAAGCATCTACAGTCACTCATGTTTACATATTGAACATGAGTGTAAGCGATACATGCGAATAGCTGATGCCGATCTGTCAGAGTCCTTTCTGTAGTTACAGAACTTGTTGCTTGATAGAAACTGTTTTAATTGTTTTATGAAGTGATTCTGTTACCAGACAGAAACCGAAGCAGGGCCATGAATCACAGCAGCAGGTCACATCTGATCTGAGATTTGTCCGTCAAAGCACAATGACTGAATGAATGAATGCGAGCGTAGCAGCAGGTCAGACGTTGGAGGTAAGACACTTGATGCAAACTGAAATCCAAATCCGAACTGTGATCACTGAGAAAGACAGAAAGTAGCTTCACACTTCACTGTTTTGTAGTTGAGACCAGTTACGGCTTTATTATAGTCAGGATTTCATTTTAAAAATCTAAACTAATTTCAAAGCATTTTGTAGTTTAAGCCTTTTTTTTTCATGGCACATGGGACCTCTTGAGATTATTTATTTTCTTTTTTGTCATTTTTTACCTGACTTTTTTCTAACTAGGAGAAGAGTTTTTTTCTGTCCAAATTATGTTGAATGGCATCAAATTGAAGGAAGAAACAAAACTTCTGGATAAAAACAAAAAAACAGTTTGAGCAAAGTCATCCCTTCATGAGAAAAAAGGTTTTTCTGTTAAAATCTATCAATCAAAATCATTAAAAAAAATAATACAAACACTTAATTTAAAAAAAGACTCTTAAAAGAGCCTCAGACAGGCGATTTAATGAGACTATCTTCTGCAGGGCTGTGATCATTTCAGCAACATTTGAACAATTGCTTCTAAACGGTGAAATAGCCCATCAGCTGTCCTCCCTCAACCCACTGCTGTATAGAAAACTTGGCCAAATGAACTCAGGAGAACAAGACAGCCATGCAAGCAGATCAATGACAGCAGTTTTTCTTGTCTTTCTTTCTTCCACTGTGTGTGTGGGATCAACACGTTTCCTTTGTGTGTGCGTAAGCGACACTGAAGGCGACACAATGCCTTTAATGTAACCACACGTGCGTAACTCTGGCTTTTTGCCACATTTGCTGCCCGTCAGGCTCAATCTCAACTGTAATTAAAGCGACTGACCATATAACAAATGACCACTGAGTCCAGGAACGACTCAGACTGGGAGTTTTAATACTGACTGTGACTTTGTAGGTGATGGCTTTCTGTAGTCCCTCCGGTGAGATCTGCAGCAGCTCCGCCACCACTCTGATCTCCTGAGCGCTCACCACTGACGCCACCTCCTGGCCGTCGGCCTGCAGGGCAGCAGGGAGAAAGAAATGCAAACAAAATTACCCTGTTATCTGCAAAACAAAAAAACAACAACAGCAAAACACCTCGCTCTTATTATGCTTGGGATACATTTCTCTGCTTGTTTTTATTTTATTTTTGAATTATTTTTCTGTCTTTTTCTACATTGTCCTGGTAAGGGTTAGGTAATTGTTGATTTCCTGATTAGATTTTCTGACTGCAATGCATCACCAATATTTGCTGTACACACTGTAAGAAAGAAAGAAAAAAAAAAGTCAGACAAAGACTGAAAATCTGCCAGCAAAAAATACTAAAAACTATGGAATATAATAACGTTCAAAAACTGTAAATAACAGTGAACTGCAAAATAATTCTATTTTCTAGCTGATTTAAATACAGTACATATGTGTAAAAATACAGTTTTAATTTGAAAAATAGGGAAATTATCACTGTCAATATATCTTTCAAATAACAGCAAATATCTGTAAAAATTCTGATAGATTTGCATTGAAAAAATGCTGTAGGGAATACATGCAGAGGGAATACTATAATGCTTAAGAACTGTATTAAAAACAAAAAAACTGTTAAAATAACTGTGAGAATAATAATAACGAAAATTAATTTTTAAAAAAAAAGTGGAATCTTGCAGTCAAACATTGTAAAAGACCAAATTACTTTTTGCAAAAATGTTGATTTCTGATGAGGACACGATGTACACATTCGGTCTTTTATTGCAGTTAACATGTATATGAATTATTCCCCCCCGTGACCTCACCAGTTATTATCTGTAATTTCACAAAACATGGAGAATCTGTAAAATAATATTAAATTGTTCTAAAAGAAAAAAAAAAAACACTTGAAAACTTGCATAAAGCACACATGTGTTCCGTTAACATTTAATAAAAATAAACCTTCAGAAAAAGTGTACATTCACTCGTATTTTCTAAAAGCAATTGAGATGAAAAGTTAAAAAAAAAAAAAAAATTAAATAATGACGATAAGATGAAGAAGATTACTTTGGACATAATATTACCTCATGTTTCTGAAAGTAGACGTTGCCCAGGTGCAGTATCGAAGAGAGAACTCTAAAGATGGCCGACTGGTCATCTGGGGTGAAATGAAGGATTTCCATGGCTGAACGCAGACGCAGGAAGTCCTCTGCATCGCTCTTTCCTGTTATCCCACAATCCCCTCCCTGTAAGCAGAGAGAGAGAGAAAAGGTGCCTCAGAGATTCCTGCTAGATATGATCTGTATCTTGATCTGAATCTGTACATGACCATGCTGAAAAATCCCCAAACAGACTGGCTTGATGCTGCATGCTTCACTGTCTCCTACCTGGTTGAGGTAATAGTAGGTTTCAGCTTCTTGTAGATAGAAAGCCTGCTTCTGCTGCGAAGGAAGACCTGCCAGCAACTCGTAGAAGATGTGATAGTTCCTCTCATCTTTGGCCTGAAGCGGAAATGTACATTTACCTCAACGCTCACAGAATAACTTCAAAAAGTTCTCATCTTGTCTGTGTGTCTTCACGTTTCACCTGAAAGACAATACGGGACTTTTCCAGTAGATACTGAGAGGTTATGGCACCGCTGATCACACCACTGGATGACCAAGGAAACAGAAGAAACAAGAATTAAGTCAAAGATGAGATGGAGTGAGACCAGAGCCGTGTGTTTGTTTCGTACTCACTCCTCCAGAAAGACCTCTATGTATTTCCCAAAGCGACTGGAATTATCATTCCGCACAGTTTTGGCATTTCCAAAAGATTCCAGCAGAGGAGCTGCCTCGAGTATCTACCAGTGATTCAGACACACAAGAGATCAACAACCTTTATCAGGTAGGTGACAAATACACTGAAAACATGTTAGTTTAAGAGTAACAGCAACCATTTTTACTCTAATCTATTGTTTTGCTACAGCAATATGTCAAAAACTAATGAAATGCAAAGCAGCAGCTGTTATTAGAATCACGTGTAGTTAAACAAAACAATTTAAGGCCCATTTAAAGTTCATCATTTAGAAATTTACAAGAAAAAACACATCTCCAAAGCGTATTGTCACACACCACAGCAAAACACAGCAACCTGCTATGAAGATGAGTTGTAAAATGTAAAGGCATGCAGGGAATCCCACTACCTCAATCTGCACCCGAGGAAAGCCACCGGAGGAAAGAAAAACAAGATGCAGAGAGGCATTGTTTATCCTTCAAAACAGAAAAAAATGGTTTGTGTGTCTGTGTTCTTGCAGAATCTGATAGCAACACTGTGTCTGTGATTACCTGCTGTGCAAGATTAGATTTGTGATGTATTGCTGCAAGGTAGCGAAGGACGAGTTTGGTGGCCTCTGTTTTTCCAGACCCACTCTCCCCACTGAAACATGGTGACACAAACACACCGGACACAAGTGACACACATAAATAGGACTCAGGAGGTTACACATTTTATAAAGAACTGCAACAAATCTGGGTTAACTTGAAGGCATTTTTTTTTCTTTGCAAGTCAGACATACATGAAATTGTGAATAGTAATGCTCAATAAACTGAGCTTTTGATGCTGGGCACAGACAATTATTATCCATGTACATCCAAAAGAGGAAAAATTTAAGACATTTTGGTTTGATTCTTGCAGAAAATTAAGTTTTTCAGCCACATTTGCTATTTAAAATACAAAAGAGACAATATGGGGAATACCAATTTTTAAAAAGTGCAACAAATCGTGGAACAAATAGACTAGAAGCTACAGACAAAACTGAAACTTTTTATATAATATAGAATAGAATATGCAATAGAAATACTATTGTTTCCCAACACACACACACAAAATATAAAATATAATAAAAATAATAAATGTAATAGAAAAATATACCAAGATACTGAATGAACAATAAATTGCAAAAATATTCTATGAACATAAAAAATGTACGAAATTGAAAAACACACCACAAAGTCACAAATGTTAACAATAAAATAATATAGTAAATCAGGGAATTAAAGTCTTGTAAACAGCAGTGCAAGTAATGCAATAAAAATGCAATTTTGCACTTAGTTTTGTAATTGTATTCTTTAATAGTCGGCACCATCAGCTTTTTCATTTTGTGTACTTGGCTGCAAAATTCTATCATCTAAATAGTATTTTTTAAAAATCCAGAATCAATTTTGATGGCAGCAAAGCTCACTAAGTGTGAACATTATCCGCACTTTAAATACGACTGCAGACGCCTGTTATTAATCACTTAGAGAGTCCATTATTTGATCCGTTTCACCTCCCTCCCGGGTGCCTGTGGAGTGTTTGACTTAATTGACTAAGTGACGTGAGAGCGGGCTAATCTTGCATTAGGCGAGGCCTCAATTCCACTTTTGCGGTAAACCACCTGAAACAGTCTTCCACACACACATCCAGCGCTTCGCCACTGCCAACAGCTTAGCACTAAATACCACCATTATGTAAGCCTGGCCAAAGGGGGGCAGAGTTGTGTGTGTTTGTGCGTATTTAGGGACACCGGCACCTTCACCACGTTCCAGCATAAGGTTTCAACTCACAGGGCTGGTTAGCTTAAAAACCGGGCCATTACTGGTCATTGTACACCAGACCTCAGTTACCCCTTAACACGCACTCGCTCACACACACACACTCGGTCCACACACATGCACTCAGACGCACACGTCTCTGAAACATAACCTGCTCCTGGCCCAGACGTGGCTGGGCTTTCCTTACAGGTGTCTCCTTCCGAGCACGGCTAGAGTGTTCCAGGTGTGTGAGAGTGTGTGCACATACATATAGATACAGATATATGTGTGTGTTTCTGGACACAATCAAAAAAAACACAATCGTGTTCGTGTAAGTTTCTCGATGCATATGTGTGTGTGGTTGCACATAAGATTGCAGTCACTGTGCGTTGGCATTTATAAAATGTGAATTTACTGGTGAGTGTGTTATTGCTCCTCCAATAGACCAGTTTTTAAATGGAGCAAGGCGTCTGTAATGGATAGACAGAGCGTGAGAGAAGCGAGGGATGGCCCTGTCTTAGGTTTGCTGGCCAGCAAATCACAGACAGACACTCATGAATTTGCAAACACTAATCCAACTGTAGATGGAAACCTGACAGTCCAAGAAGCTTATGTGCACCACGTTTGCACCATTAAAAAGCCTTGACTAGAATAGAATAGAATAGAATAGAATAGAATAGAATAGAATAGAATGCTTTTTATTGTCATCATACACAAGGCACAATGAAATTAAAAGACAACTCCAGTGGTGCAGAAGTATAGAAGTAAAAGTATAAAAAGACAAATAAGAATATATACATGTATTTACAAAAGGACTAATGATGCAGCACATGATACAACAAAAAATGCTGCACTCTGCAACATGAAGATGTTTAAATAAGGTTTCATGTCTGAATAACTGTGTGCATGTAGTGCTAAATACAGTTTAAACCAGCAGTGAGTTAATCTAGTGAATAAGACTCCTCTGTCTAAATCAGACATGGTTGGTGAACATCATCTGATTTACATTTATAGAGAAACTGATTAAAAGAGAGTCAGCCTCTTACCTGATTATTATGACCTGGTTGTGTTTGGCATCCATCATTTTGAAATAAGCAGCGTTTGCTATGGCAAACAAATGCCTGACAGAGAAAAAAGTGAACAAGCAACAAGCTGTCAGATAAGTTAACTCAGAATTTAAGCACAAAAGTATTCTCCACCCTTCTTCCCATCGTCCTATGTTGTTGATAGTTAGTAATACTTTTTTAAAAATGCATGACATTTACTTCACAAGGTTACTGACAAATCTACAGACGGGCATTTTTCAAACACGTTGGTCCAAAATGTCTTACTGGAGTTCAGTTAGGTTAAACACCAATAGGAGCCCTATTGATTGAGGCATGGCCACCCTCGAGGCGACTCCCATCAGGATTGAGATGTTTCATCATATTAAAAAGATGATCATTCAAACAACTTTGTATTGATTTGATTGAAGCACAGGTAGACCCACAACATAACGGAGCCACTGGATACACCTCACTATGAGGGTCAAGGGTTCAGGTTTTCCCTTTGATTGTTCCCCCTTCCTGAGTTGATTTTCAGTTTACTTGCCCCCATAGTTTGACAATGAGCATGACTTACGGAGGGTTTTCTCCCAGAGCGCAACCCTTGTACAGCAGCACCAAATCCGTCCCATAGATGTTGTACATCCTGTAAGGGTTCACAGACACCAGAATACTACCTATGTATGTCTGCAAAAAAATTAATGAAGAGGGAGAGAGGAAGAGAAAGAAATGGAAGTCAAGCAGAGAGGTAAAGAGAGAGAATCTGTAAAATTAAAATGAAAAGTAAATTCATAATATTGAGTGTAGGTGGGTGACTGTATGTGTATTAGACATGAGGACTGTTCAGATACTTACATAAATAAGTTCTCTCTCAAACCTTGTCCTTAGGTTCACCAGAACAGCCCCTTCATGCATCTCCCTAGAAAAAGGCAATAAGACATAGCTAATTCAGGATGTTACAGAATATCGCAAAGCACAGCATGGCCCCACTAACCATCTGTGCATGTTTGCGCTGCCCTGAGTGCAAAATTGGCCTTTCCTGAGAAAAGACTTTCCCATTCCCTTGATCTTTCTTTAATTGTGTCCTACCACAACACAACACACTTTCAGCTTCTGGAAGTCATCTAGAATTGTCATGTCTGAAGCTTGTGTCTTGGATCTGACTTTCTTTGTCAGAGCAAGACTTATAATGACTTGAAAATGAGTTAGCTCAATAGTACTGTGTGTTGTTGCTTGTTTTTGTTTTTTTTACTTACTCCAGCTGTGTCATATCTTCCACGCCATCTTCCTCTCTTTGCTCCCGTTGAATCACAGTGGGCAGGCTTCTGATTGAGTACATCTAAAATGTACATGCACACTTAAAAATGAAGACATGATGCAGATACATAGGCCTCTACACAATGGATTTATGTGTAAAACATGCACACATTCCCTCACAAAGCAATGGTGATTCTCTCTTTTATCAGGTATTCTAGGATTGTTTGTTACGAGAGCCTCCCTTACCTGCCTCTCCTCAAAAATGTACTACAATTATATCTTATGTGCTCATTGCGCCACAGTGCAAAACATTGTGCTCTTTCTAACGCCATCGACACATCCATAATAACAAGCGCCTGTTTGCCTTTTGTTGTTAAACTTGTTAACGCAAGACCACAGAATGAACACTTTACAGGTTTACAGTATGTTGGTAATATAGCTTTTTCTGATACTTTAGGTGCGTTATGTAGAATACTAAGAATTATTACCTTGTCAAACCAGTTCCCCTGTGGTTCCCCCTCCCTGCTGAGATTCCACTCCCCAGGTTCTTGCCCCATGTGTTCCTGGCCCATCAGGCCGTGGGGGTCCAGCAGCTCCCCATCTCTATACATGGACCATTTATTAAGGTTCTGCACTGTCCCATGAGGTAGAACCCTCTCTGCACCCCAGACATCTAGATCCTGTTGCATTCCCAAGCCATCAGAGCCTTGCGCCCAGTGTTGTTCAGGACCAGATCCCTGGACCTGGGGTGATACTACAGCATATGAGGAGGGTAGGCGGAAAGAGGCACCTCGGAGGTTAGGGTTCTGCAAAGCACCAGAGAGGTTGAGTGAGCGAGGTTCTGGGGTGCTAGGGGCACCAAGTCGTGTCATGATATTACCATCAGGGAGACGGTACTTTGCTCCACGAAGATTTGGGTTCTTTGATAAAGCATTAGACAGGTCAAGTGATCGTTGTTCAGAGGTGGGCTGAGAGCGGGTCATGAGAGTTCCATCTGGCAAACGGTATGTTGCAGAACGGACATTCTGATTGCGGAGAGCATTGGAAAGGTCAAGAGAGCGTTGTTGAGAGGTATCAGCAGATCCAGGTTGTCTCAAAAATGATGTGTTTGGGAGTCTATAAGAGGCCCCACGGAGATTGGTGTTGAGCAAGGCGCCAGAAAGGCCCGGACCAGAGGGGGCAGGGGGAGGAGCTTGAGCTTGGTTACGTGAAAACAGTGATGATCCTTCTGGGAGCTGAAACTTTGCCTTGCGCAAGTTCGCATTCATCAGGGCACCTGATAACCCTGGTGATGATATTGCACTCTCAGCACTTTCTTCCTCTCCTCCTGGGTATGACAGAAATGAACCATCTGGTAATCGATAGGAGGCCTTTCGAACATTAGCATTGAGAAGAGCTGAAGAGAGCACAGAAGATGAAGAGGAGGGTGCAGGTGCTGGCTCTGTCCTGGTTACAAGAGTACCATCAGGCAAACGGTATGTGGCCTTCCGTAAACTGGGATTGAGCAATGCAGAGGACAGCATAGATGAGGAGAGGGGTGACGGACCTGACAGTTGTTCAGCAGGTTCAGTCCTGGTGATGAGTGAGCCATCAGGTAGTCGATAGGTGGCCTGACGTAGACTCGGGTTCTGTAGGGCATTGGAGAGCATAGATGGGGACAGCATCCCACCACCGCTAGCACTATCACTGGGTGCTGATGGCTCAGCTGTGCCCCGGGACATTGTCAAAGTGCCACCTGGAAGCTTGAACATAGATCCCTGAATTTGGGCAGTCCGCAGTCCACCAGAGAGAAATGAGGAGCTACCTCTAATATCTCCTTGTTGAGGTGTGGTGGGAGGAGGAGCAGGTGTGGCAGAAGATGGGGGGGTGATATGTCTCTGAAAAGGTGAAGCAAAGGAAGCATTACGCAGCTGAGAGGTAAGCATAGAAGAAGAAAACCGTGGGGAGGAAAGTGCAGAGGGAGCAGGAGGGGCTGCTACTTCAGGAGGTGAGAGCACAGTGGTATAAAGGTTTGCATTGCGTTGTAGAGGAGATGAGTAGGAGGCGCTGCGTAAGCGGGAGTTCTGCATCAAAGCATTGGAGAGACCAAGACTGGCATATGGACTTGCTGCCTGGTTCTCTTCGACAGTAGCTGATATCTCCCCCTGCATACCAGGTATGGTGGAAGGGCTCCTCTGTAAAGGTGTGGTGTTTCCAATATTCTGCAGATAAGGGTTCTGGAGTGTGCGTCCCAGATTAGGTGACAAGGGTGCATGTTGAGGGAGGGTTTGGGGGTAGACTTCATGGTGTGTTTGGGGGGAGATGGGTCTTTGTAAAGGAGAGGCATAAGCACTGGTGGAGTAAGGCATGGAGGGGTTTGGTAAAGCATTTGTAAGCATTGGAGAAGGACCTGGCTCCATCATTGAGTAGTCATACTGGGTGATACTTTGTGATGGTGGGAAAGTGCCAGGAGGAAAACCTGGTTGAGCTACTTGGGGTTGAAAAGAGGCTTGCCCTAGACTATGAGGAGTCATAGACCTATGAGGCAGGGGAGAGGGTGGATGAGATAGATGGTGCATGGGTGAGGCTGAACGGGAGTGCAGAGGAGAGTGATGCTGCAGTGGTAGTGGAGATTGAGGTCTACTCTGAAGCCTACGTATTGATGGTTGGGGAGAAAGGGGGCCACTCTGTTTTAGAGAAAGTTGTGGAGAGACAGGAGGCATTGGAGGAGGTGATCTAAATGACTGTCTAGATTGAAGAGAGGGCTGGGTTCTGGGCATTCGAACTAGTGGTTGCCCCCTACCTACAGGTCTGTGAAAGCCTCTTTGGGGTGTACCAATTCTCTTTGACTCTCTTAACCCTGTGGGACGGGAGCCTGCCCTGGTTAGCATGGGCGTTCCGGCTCCAGCCCCAATTGGTCCTGAAGGAGGGGCAGGGCCACTATGTATGGAGGACCTAAATGGGGCCACTTGTTGAGTGACAGGGGGCCCATGTCTACTGCGTCTCTGTAAGTAAGGGTTAGCTGGAGAGGGTTTCACAGCTCCCATGGGCACATGACTTCGACCTCCAGCAACACCTCTCATCCTGCGAGTAGAGGACCGGGTGGGGAGGGGTCGATTGGTGACACGTGATGGTGAAGGAGAGGGAGGACGGTGGGGAGAGGTGGGACGGAAAGATTGTAGGGGGGAATGAGATCTTTCAGGTTGAGGTGGGCTCCGTCTTTGTGGGGATGGTAGGGGAGGAGAGGGTGAACGCCTCATCTTCGATGTTTGTTTTCTACCTTTAAACAAAGGCGGTCTGGTAGGTGGCAGGGGGACTGCATCTGGAGGGGGTTGCTGTCTGAAAGAAAGTCTTGGGGAAGGTGGTGGGCTTGCTCTTTTCCTCAGTGACCCCCTGGGTGAGGCTAGGGGGCTAGAAAATGGGGATTGCGGTCGGACAGATGAGGGAGCCCTGCGTAGCCCAGTCCCTCCCTTTCCTCTTGTCATAGATGGCTGAGCTCTTGTTGTTGACATCCCTCTCCTGTGATATAGTGGAGAGGAAAGTTGGCTGGGTGGTCTCTGCCTGTCAACTGGTGAAGTCGGTCGTTGCCGCCCCATTGAGGCCTTGTGAGAGAGCCCCCGCCTATGTAAGCGAGGGGAGAGGTGGGGATCTGACTGGATGCCTGTTTGGAAGTCCATGTGATGTGGTGAGAAGTGGGATGAAGGCACTATTCCCCTAACTGATCCTGGTCTCAGTGACAGCTGTGGGGATGAAAAGGGACTCATTCGTCGCACTGGCCTGGGTGAGGCCGCTGGCGAATGCAGTGGTGAATGCATAAGTGGAGGCATCATTGGCTGCATTTGGGGAACCATTGGCTGCATTTG